TACTGAAAAAGTGTGATTGAAGAATAAACTTGATGTTGGGCTGCAATTTGAAAAAATTGTAGACCTATAAATTCACACTGTCATTCGTCCACCTGTGTTTCCTTAATCTTGAGAACGAAGTTAGCTAGATGAAATCTGAGACCAGATATGGAAACCTTAATGGAAGGAAGCCCTGATTAACTATAATTATATGAACTTCCAATGCAAATCAGATGTCATGCTATTTCAATTCAAAATTTTTCCCCTGAAAGCAGTTAATATAGGGGTGGCCAACAGTTTTTGCTCCTGGGCCAAATCGGAAAAAAAAACTTTTTTCATGGGCCAAACCAGAGGCTGCCTTAGGAAGATTTTGAAGTGGTGTGAGATCTCATTGTGGTGTCACCATGTAGAGACTGAATTGTAGATAGAGATTACAGATACATTTTTCACATTATCATGCATTATCAACATTCTATGCTGTACTTACAAGATTTGTAATGGAGGGTTAACTCAACGCACAATGAGTTGTTGATCATCTTTCTTCTTTTTTTTTAGCCGTCAGAATCTTTCAACGAGCTACTCAGACTTCAGTAGCTAATATTATAATATTGAAAGATTGATTGCAGGCCACATACATTCATTAGACAGGTCGGATCTGGCCCGCAGGCCATATGTTGGCCATGCCTGAGTTAATAGATGACTGGTATGACTATTGTTAAAGGAAAAGTATGATGTACAGGGGCAAGCCACTACTAATTTGAGGTGGAGAATATATTTTAAATTAAATAAATTAAAAATATTATTAAAAATTTCAGCCCAGCATTGTGACAATGTCATGATAAATAATTGCTCATTAATTTAAAAAAATGATTGCAAGTATCATTTTTTCACATAAAATATTATTTTCTGATTATAACAACATTATCTTTCCACAAAAATATAATAGTGTTTAAGGTTGGTTAGAGGTAAGCAATTAAGTCACCATATCTTGGTAAATTTAATAATTAGAATTAAATTAATTTTTAATTTAAAATTTGATTTATTTCTAATTTGTTATCAGCCTTATTATAATGAAATGTTGGCTTTAAAAAACAATTATTATTTAAAATGGAATTTAAACCAGTTCTTTAACTACTGTGTAAAAACAAATAATTATGTAAATATAAATCTATAAAAATATTTGAAATATTTTGCTAAATTCTTCTCTAGATTTTATTTTCATTAAAAATTTTTTTATTTTTCAATTGTATAAGATGACTAAGTTAAAAATAAGGCCTTTTGGACTTGAGAACATTATTCATGTAACAAATATTTAGAATCTGTAAAGACAATTGATTAATATAATATTTTAATACTTCCTATAACACTGAATCATGCAAAGTATAAAGAAGTTATATTCTATTTGCTGCAAAAATTTAAATTTTAATCACAAAAAATTATTTAAAATTTTACATCTAATTCTCATTTTATGCACTCTCCATTTGTTTTCTTGGCATTATGCATTTAAAAAAAATATCTCATCTCTCATAGATTGTCTCAATATGTATAATGCATGCTCTTGCATGCACTATATATCTAGATGATGTGGAAATTTTCTAAACCACTACATTATTTTACTGTTTTATATATGTCTCTACTGTTTTTTCAAGAATTGCATGTTACTGTTTTCTGCTTTTACTTATAGGTCTGTTATTGAAGGCAGTCCTTTTTTGTCCACTGGACATTATCTGTATTAATTATTAAATAAATATGTACATGTTAAATTGCTCTTTTTTTTTGGCACATTGTCAACACTTCCAAGTTACTATAAAAATTAGGTGTAGGTGTAGGTGTAGGGTAATATTACCCTACTATTTAAACAACATTGATTAAGGCAAGATTCAAATCCTAGTGCCTTCTCCAACATTCTTCACCTTTTCCCACGTTTATATGGGGTCGGCATTTCCCTCTCTAATACGTTTTTTCCATTTCTCCCTATCAACAGCTTCTTCTCTCTTAAGTCCTCTCTAGTTCAAGTATTCTTTCACCTTATCTTTCTAATGCATCTTTGGTCTTCCTCTTTCCTTTTACTACTAGTTTTCCGATCTTCTTTCCAACATAATTGTTGCTTCTTCGCTCTACATGGCCAAACCACCTCAACCTACATTCACGCATCTTTTTGCTCAAGGGGCCCACCTTAACAGAACCTCTAATAAAATCATTTCTTATTCTATCCTTCCTTGACACTCCACACATCCATCTCAACATTCTCGTTTCTGCCAACTCCATCTTTCTTTCTTGGGCTCTTGTTATTGCCCATGTCTCAGCTCCATATAACATTGCAGGTCTAACAACTGATTTATACAATTTTCCTTTCAGATTGCAGCTAATTTTCTCGTCGCATAACACACCGCTCAGCTTCCTCCTGTCCATCCATACACATTGAATTCTATGCTGCATCTCCGAGTTCAATCCTCCTCCCATCTCAACAAATGTCCCAAGATTTGTCCTTCACCAACATTAAATCAATATATTAGAATAAATACTACATAGAAAAAGTTTTCTTTAAAAAATACATATTATGCCAACTGCCAACAATTTTAATAAAACTTAAATTTGTACTACTTTGTTTGTATAAACAATAGAAGACTTTTTAAAATTATTTGTATACATTATATTATATTAAAAATTAAATATTATGCAACTATTAAATTTTTTATTAGACTAAACATATAATTATGCATAACTGTAGGAAATGATATGGATTGTTGCCAAGATCAAACACTTTTTCTTGTACAGATCTCTGGAGATTTGTTATTAATGAGCCAGTGATTATAAAGTAGCCTAAATCAAAAATGGGAAAATATTGAATTTATTTCGCAAACTATTCATAAAATTTTACAATTACATCTAAAAAAATCTATTTTGCAAGAGTAAATATATTTGTATTTTCTTTTTTTATGATCAAAAAATATATTTTGACTTTTGAATAAAAATTAAAAAATATCTCCAAATAAAAAATGACTTAGGCTGCTTCATAATCACTAGCACATTTATAATGGCAATGAATTTGGAGTTGTTTCCTACCATTTAAAATCTATTAATTAGCATTATTCATTGATTATATTAAAATCAACTAGTTACATAATAGGCCTATATTAAATATAAACATAAGTAGTATTGCAAATACAGTAATAAATTATAAAAAAAATTCTGAGATTTTTTCCAAGTTTTAACATGTGAATTCACTAGTTAAATACATTTTCTGAAAGAGAAATAGATAATTACAAAAATTTTTACAACTAATAAAATATTTGAAGTAAAATAGAACTATATACAGTATATATAGTTCTATTTTACTTCAAATATTTTATTAACATTTAAAAAAAAATATATATATATATATATTTTAAAATGTTATGATAAAAATGATTGTACTTTGAATTTATTCAATATTTGTGTGAAAATAACAATAAAATTTCTTGAATTTTTTCACAATAACCTAACATAATAAAATCTTATATATTTTGATAAAAATTCAAACATTTCACTTGTTCAGAATATATTGAGATAAACCTGTCTAGAAATGGAATTTTTCTCATAATAGAGGAAATAACCATTTCCTGCTAAAACTATTTCCCAGTAAGAAAATACAACATCTGCAGTGCACTTATCTCTGCAAATGACAGTCATCAAACACATTGATGCTGTATTCTTTTCCCTGCATAAAAAATATATTAAGTATAATCCACAAAACATAAAAGTGCATGAAAAATATAGTAGAAGTTACTTTCAGATAATAACTACTTAAAGTGGATACATGCAAATAATTTGTATGATATATAGGCAGAAGTGTATATATATCAGACATGGGCAAATGCGACTCTTTTTGAGTTACATGCAGCTTTTGCTGAAAGTGTTAATTCCTGCTTTTTATTATTATTTCCACAATTTTGTGAAAATAGTGATATGTTTATTAAAAAATTCAATATTTGTTTTATATTATATTTATATTATATAATAAAATTGCAGTACAGAACTGTAGTACAGAATAAAAAAGTACAGAACTGCGGCTCCCATGCATTTTGCAAAACCTACATTTCGGNTCCCAATATATATATATATATATATATATATATAGGGATTGTGCTGCATAGTACCAGAATCAGCAGTTGGCAATATTTTTATTAAAATGCCAATAAAAATCGTGGTTATTATTGCCACATTAATAAAATTAACACTGCTTATTTTGACAATCAGGGTGAAATTGAATCATAAAGCATGCTTCAGCTAAAGCAAAAAATTTTGATATGACAGAACCTGTAAAATACAGTTTAAGCATTGTGATAAAATGTGTTATTTGGAATTATTCATTAAAAAATTATTCAAAAATAATTCCTATTTCTAAGTGACAGCTTAACATCTTACTTTTGCTTTCCAAATGCCAAATTGATAAGGCTACCAGCACCTGCATTAATTAGGAAGTAAAATTGATGGTGATAATTTAAAATTGATAAAATTGATTTAAATTTTCTATAGTGACCTCTGTATGTATATATATTTATATAAAATGTATGCATATTATCTAAAAGTAACTTCTACCAAAATATATGCATTATGTAAATGAATAGCAAAGATAACACAATGTTTTAATCATATATACCAATTAGTGTATATTTATGACCATAAATCACATTAATCTCTTTTCGTTACTATAGGAAGGATTTTCAATGTTTGTAAATAAAAATTTGAAACCATATTTACAGTAATTCAATTCATGGTAAATAATACACTCCAAAACATTACAAATGCAGCTCTGAATGAGACGGTTGGGACCTTATCACAGCTGTAGACCATGCCTATAGAAATGTATAAAAGTCAAAGGAATTAAAGGGTTCTAAAATTTGGAAGGGAAGTCCAACCCCTCATTCATAACTGCAATTTTACCGTCAAAACTTTATATTTTATTACAAATTTGTAACTTAAAACGTATTTAAGATAATTAATAATTTACTGTTATGAAAATAAATCGAAATTCTTACTGAAATTAGGGTTATTGGGAGCTCGATAAGCATTATATCGAGCATCTAATGCCAACACTTGCTGCCACTGGGTCGCCATTTTTGTTTACGTCGGCGCCATCTTGTTTTAGAAACTTAAAAAAAATGTCATTTATTTATTATTATAAACTTGGCAATGAAACGTCAGAAATATTAATAGTTTCCATTAAATTTTTTGTCTTATAAAATCAATTATAATTGTATGAATATTTATAAAGAACAATATTCAATTATTGAGAGTGATTTCAAGTGTCAAGCAGCTAAGTAAGGAAACCAATAGCACAGTCTGTTTCATATGAAACATGTTATGCTATTGGTTTGCTTACTTATCTGCTTGCTATTTAGTAACAGCCTGAGTCTTTTTTTTTTTTTTTTATTCATTTCGCTCTGTGGGCACTAAGATAGCCTATAAGTAATACCTGGTCTCGCCCTCAATGGGATCAGCGGGTAATGAGACGGGCCTGACGTGTCCTGGATACGGGTTTTTGAAAAATTCCTGAAATGTTTGTCACGGACTCGAACCCGAATACCGAAAACAGTAGGCTGACGTCTTTACCGCATCTGCCACCTGGCCGTTTATATAGAATGTTTTCAATTGTTAATCTAAATACAGTATATAAAATTACTTGTCCTGACTGACTGACAGTGATTGATTCATCATCGCCCAGAGCAAACCGCTGAACCTAAAGGTGTGAAATTTGGTACATAGTTAGGGTAAGTCATGAAAACGCACACTAAGAAGGGATTTTTCGAAATTCCCTCGCGGGGTGAGAGGGAGAGGATTAAACAGGTTGGAAAAATAGAAATAAAAATTGGTGGCAAATGTTTTCTGCCCTAAAAAATCGTGTTCAAGTCCGAATCAGATTCTCAAGAGACTTAGAAAATAGCAATGATTTGAAAGAAAACATGTGACTGTACACAGATGAAACGATATCAGTAAATAATTTCAAATAAAGACAATAAATAGCAAAAAAGGTTTGAAAAGGAGGACGTCTAAAATTATTGAAATGACAAAACAAAAAGACACAAAGAAGTAATGATTTAAAAAAAATATATTTTTTATTGATTTCTCTCAACTAATAACTATGAAATAATATAAATTTTATTTGGTTGAAAAAATTATATATTCAAATAACAAAGAAAGCGTCATAAAGTTGAAAATAAAAATTTAATATCAGAATATTTTTAGATAAGATACAAATCTGATTTCCACTTAGATTACATTTTATCTTTCATTTTTACATTTATTTGCGTTTATTCCCTTCTGTATAAAATTTATTATTACATTAAATTTTAAGTTGCATCTAATTTCGATAAAGTTATCGCATGTAATCAAAACATGACCAGCATAATTATAGCTAATGACCATCTATAATTTCGCCTAATATAGAAGGCCTGTTCACAATGAATCCAACTGTTCCATATTATCAATGATAAATTACGAGAGTATGGATTATGGATCAAATTCGAAACCGGATCCTCAGTTGGCAGGCTCATATATTCCCTTGTCGCATGTGGCTAACGTGTCAAATTTAACTCCCTCGACTTTATGCAATGCCGAAACGTGTTGGTCCCCAATAGACTCAGGGCAAATTCGAGGTCATTGGGGTAAATCTATTAATATTATTTAAAAAATTCGTATAAAATCAGGGCCCATCAGTGGCCAAGCGATCTTCGTACCCTGAACACTGTAAGTTGAGTTTGGTCGTTGTGTTCGCGCCTCGCTCGGACGGGCTGGCCACGGGTTTTCTCCACGTTTATAACGCCTAAATAGGGGCCAGTTTCCCTTAAAAAGACATCCCGGTAGGCATCCCCCTAGACAGATCGCCCAAGTCTTGCGTTACCGCAAACAAACAAAGTATAAAATCAAATTTTTATAATAGAAGTATAAAAAAAATGGTAATGAGCAAGATCGAGTAGTTTTGTTTGATATATTTTTCATCTACTTGTATTTTTTTATTTTTTTTATTCGTTTTTTCTTGCTAAAATTAATCGAATACCTGTAGGCACTAAGAGGGCCATTTTTTATAATGAGTTCGGCCAGGCCCACAATGGGGCAGCCAGGTGATGAGGAACCTGAAATTTTTCGACCCGTTTCGAACCGAAAAATTCAATCCTGGTTCCCCAGAGCGGTAAGCTGCCATCGTAACAGCTCGGCCATCTGGCCGGCCGCAAAACATTCCTTATTGTATATAAACTATATGAAATAAATGCGTTCATTGTAAGTATTATAAAAATAATAATTTATAATGCATTCGTGTATTTTTCTCCGCAGATACATCGATATTATCCAATTAAAAAAAAAAAAAAAAATGACGATGAAAAATTATTCGTCTGCTCCTCCTAATGACAGAATACGAAAAGGATAAAATCCGATTGGTAGTTCTTACAGTAACCTGTAGGTGGCTCCTCCTCCGCTATTTTTTCCTTCTTCCGAGACGCCATCTTGGATCTTCTCCTCCCAAATTTCTTAGAGGTAGTGAGTGATCTGTTATTAAAATCGAACATACGAGGAACGATTCGACGAGATGCAAGCAATAAAATGTGTAGTAGTTGGTGACGGGTAAGTAATAATTAATAATTTGTATAATTATTTTAAGATCGGTTTATACGAGGCCATTATTTGACGTTTCCTGAATTTCGTAAAGAAGTTTTTTTGTATAAAGATTTAAAAGTGTGGGTCAAATGCGGTGTATATGTATAGGCCTTAGAGCCAATTTTACGTTTGTTCTCGTTGTAAGTTGATAAGTAATTCCGCTTAAAGATATAAATCATTTTTATAAGGTAAATCGCTATTTTTTTTTCCATTTAAATATCCGATCTGTCGGAATTTTATCATTTTTTTTTTTAATCTTTTATTTTGAAGGAGATTTGATCGACGTACGATTGAAGATTCAATGAACAGAATAATCAAATGCTACATAAAATAATGCTTCTTCGAGCGTTAATTATTAACAAACAGGAAGAAACAATCTAACATTCAATGAACATTAATCATAATATATTTTGGAAAAAATGTGGCCTTTTCATATTTTCATTGAACGTTGTAATAGTAATACCATTGCGAAATGCTTACAAGTATATATTATAATATAACATAGAACCATTTATATACATTAATAGTAATTTTCATTATTTGATTAATTTATATTAGGAAATGATAGATTTATACGTCAAATTAAGTATTTCCAAGTATTTGTATATATAATGTGTATATGAATATTCGGATTTAGTTTCCTGTATAAATCTATCATTTTCTAATAAGAATTTATCAAAAATTGCAGAGTATTTCCTAAAATATGTTCAAAGTATGCCTTCAACTTGAAAAAAGTAAATTATTATTTAAATAACAAATAACACCAACAAATCTTTATAATTAAACCAGCAAATATATATTTTTTAATATACTTTGACAAGCACTTTCTATCTTAATTGGGATCTGCTTCGGGTCAAAACGTTCTATACAAAATTGCTCTTTAAGCATTCCAAATTTTTGTATAGAATGTTTTGACCTGAAGCAGATCGCAATTAGGATCAAAAGTGCTTGTCAAAGTATATTAAAAAATGTATATTTGCTGGTTTAATTATAAAGGTTTGTTGGTGTTATTTACTATATAATCAGATGTGAAAAGATTTAGAACTCTGTAAGCAATATTTTTTAAGATATATAGAAGGTTATTATTTAAATTCATTTAACATAAATTAAAGTAATTTCTTTTATAATACATTATCCTGTCAGAGTGTATACTACTTTTTAAATCTGTTCATTAAATTATAATTTACTCTCTCACTTCTTTTTTGGAATATATATTGGAATTAATTACATTTACTATAGTTTCACATTTTAATACAATATTCTGTTTTCTTAATTGCAGAATTGTAAAAATGAAAATATTCATGTATATATATATATATGTACAGTACCATATATCCAAATAGTCATATACATGTTGTGTGTGGATATAAATTTATATCACTTCCAAATATGAAATAATCAAATACTGAAAATTACTCAGATTTGTTACTGTTAATGGGCAGAATTGGAATGAATCATTTACCACAGGGTTAAGTAAATTCTTCCTGATATGAAAATAAAATTAGATAGTAAAAAAATATCTGATTTTTTTTTCTTTTTTAGATTATTTTAAGTATAAAAATCTATATTTATGTAAGATTGCTGTCTTATATATGATGATTATAAATATTGTGTTGTATATTTATTATAGATATAGAGATTTTTAAAAATTGAATTTAACTAAATTATACATTTTTAATACTTGAGAAATAGATCAGATAAGGATAGTAATAGTTAAAACATTTTATTAATCAGTATGAATTATGATTCTTTTCATCACTAGGTAGTAATATAAACAGATAAAAAATCAATGATTTAACAATGAAAATGTATTGGATCAATTTGTTTCACATTTAATATTATTAATTTCATTTATAAAAAAAAAAACTGAAATCAGATTATATACAATTTTGTATTTTTGTGTAAGAAATATAAATTTATTATGGTCATAATAATCAGATTTTTATATTGTAGTGTATTAAACTTTGATTATTGATGGAAATTAAAATGGTAAAATGTAAGTAATGTTCAGTGACACAAAAACAACAATTTTTTTTCTAAAATATATTCAAAGTATGCTTTTAACTTGAAAAATAAATTATTATTTAAATTCATTTGACATTAAATAAGGTAATTTTTTTTATAATACATTTTTCTGTCACATTTCTTTTTAACTCTGTTCATTGAATTATAATATACTCTTTCCTTTTTTTTTAAAAATATATCAAAATTAATTACAGTTACTCTAGTTTCACATTTTAATTTTCTGTTTTCTTAATTATTTTAATTAAAGAAGTGTAAAAATGAAGTAAATTTGAATTTCTTGATTCAATTTATTCTATGTTTTAGTATTTTTTACTTTTTGTTATAAAAATTTAAATATATAAGATTTGTATTGATTATCATTCTAACTTTTGTGCAGCTATCATTTAAGGATTCAAAATTAATGAAAAGCCATTTTTTCTTTAAACATGCAAGTTGTAAAATTGATCTCTGTCTGTCTGCATGTTATACTTAAATCTCATTAAAATTGACATTTTACAAAATAAATTTTTCTAATTTACAAGTACGAATAAGTTTCTTGAACAGAAAATTTTTGTAAATTTCAGAAATTCAATGTTATGTTTCACAAATTGTCAAATTTATTATGTAAATTATGTGTGTGTGTCTGCATTATTGTTAATTAATTATGAAAGTAGCTATAAATGGGTCCTAAAATGCAATATTTTATAGCTTTCTAAATATAGAATCAGAATTTTTTTCATTGCAATTTACATTTGAAGTTCATTCTCATTCTAATTTCTCTTTTGATATGCTAATTATATTGACTTTTTATTATGAATTAGTATATTTCATGCTGCTGTTATTCATTATTCCATTATTTCAACAATTTTTTTTTTTTAATTCTGTATTCTTTATAATTTTTGACATTAATAAAGCAACAAAAGCTTGTCTGTAGAAAGTACCTGTAGAATTTAGTTCTGCATGGATAAAGGAATGTTCTGTACATCATTACAAGTGAATCTGTCAAATATGAATTTTTCCAAAAATTATTTGTTGTTATTAAGAAAAATTAATAAATATTGTAATTTTGGAATATTTCAGACACTCTGTTCATCGTAATTATAATTTTCAAAAATGTGATCTAACTTCAAAACTCATATTTTCACAAAAAGAGAGAGAACTTGCTTTAACAAGCCGAAAACAATTGAATTGTTTGAATATATTTCAAGTTTTCATTTGTTTTTGAATTCCGATTTTCATTTTCCTCAGTTTTCAAATTATAAATACTATTTTGATACATTCAGTATGATTTTTTTTTATACTGTAAATCTTTTTTGCTATTATAAAAAAGTAAAGCAATGTTAGTTTGGTAATGTTGTAGCATTGAATAAAACAGTTTACTTTCTTAAAACAGATAACATAATTTAAAAATCAGGTATATTGCTATCTTCACATTTGAATCTCTATTAGTACTAGTGATGCAATCCTACAATAGGATTATATGATTCTTGAATTTGCATGGTTGTCAAAATTTATGATGATGAAATGACAATAGATTCAACATTTTCTTCCCAAATGATTATCAGTTGGATAAATCAAAACTTTATATAAATTATACTCTAGTATGATATTGCCTTCTTAAGACTAATGTTCAGTGAAATTTACATTGAAAAGAATGAGACAAACTTCAACATAAACTAAAATGTTCATTATAACCACTTAAATCTATAATTTGTATTTGTAAAGATATTTTAATTTCTTAAAAAATAGTTTATGCAATATCTTCTACTTTTAATATCTCCTAGAACTGTAAGGGTATGTCTGTCATGTCTTATGAGTCATTCACTGTCCATTTTTCCTTTCTATTAATAGGCAACATGAATGTTTCAAATGTTGAAAGTTATATTCATCACCACCACCATCAGAATATTGTATTGCAAATGATATGACCCTTTTAGCTTTGTTTTTTATGAAAATAAATCATTTTATACAGAAAACAAAGGCACTTTTTCTCAGTATTCTGTATATAAACAAATGTTCAATTGAATTAAAAAATAATCAGGTCAAAGCATAATCAATCAATCATGTGAGATCAGAAAGCAAAAGCCAAATGTTACTAGCAGTGAAATGGCCAAACTGATAGTTGTCATATGAAATCAGGTACATAGAATATTAAATTTGAAATTAATTATGTTGATGATAAATCTTGTTTTGCAGAATATCATTTTCATTTAAAATTAAATAGATGATTTGATTATCAATCTTGTAACTTTCATTATTTTTATGCAGTTGGTTTATGCCATGTATTATCTTAGATAGCCTATTGCATTAAAAAAGAATTGTTTGAGCTTGAGTAATTCTTTTTAGATTTCTATATAAATCTTATTTACAACTGGTACATTTCTTTTAATGGTGATGATTGAGTTTTTTATCACCATTTTTGTTGTTGCATTTACAGTAAAAGCTTTTATTTTGATAGGAAGTAATTTATAAATGGGAAAAGTATAGCCTTTAGGAAATCTTGAAATAATTTATTTTGTAAATATATACAATATGATAGATATATAGTCTAATGATTCTCTTAGCTAATGTATGAAAATTCTTGATAAAATATTTACTTTTTATTTCGTTATACAATTATTAACTAAAATTTGATCTTTGCCTGATTTTAAGCTATTTTTATCCTTTGAATTGGGTATGCTAAAAATCACATTGATTTTTAGCATACCCATTTCAAAGGTTAAAAAGCTATAATTAAATTTAGATGTAAAATGCAGCATTTTACCATTCCACATGTTTCAGAAACATCTCATAGGACATGTTAAAGGTGTCTATCTTTTATAATTAATTCTAAACTACCACTTACAGGTAGAAAAATAGCATGGGGATATCCTCTAATATTGTAGTTTGGAAATAAAATTTTGATTATCATGTAAAGTTTTAAGTGGTGAATTTCAAATTGACTTTTTAACTTGGATTTAAAC